ACTGCCCAGGCCAAGAAACAGGAACGACCGATCCCAGAAGTCCTGTGGGCTCCTCCAAGATCACATTCCTTCCCTTCCCTCCCCTGATCTGAATTTGGTGTCATCATTTCCATGTTTTTTGTTAGAGTTTTTAGCAGCTATGTGCCAAACAAAAATGCAGCCAATAGTGCGCTTATAAATGTTTTACAACAGGCTTGCAGGGGAGGGAAGAGGCCATGATGTGCAGGAATTACTGATTTCTGTGGTATGAATACTCCTATTACGGCCAATTTTGAGGTACTAATGTGATGTCCACTGACTCACAAATTCTTGATGATTTCGAAATCTGTTCTCACAAGCTAGCTCCAAGACATCACTGTTGATAATTGCAAGATCTTGGGAGTGTAGTGTTGCGATCATAGCTCATTGCAACCTCCAACTCCTGGGCTCAAGTGATCCTACTGCCTCAACCTCTCAAGTAGCTAGGACTACATGTGCGCAACCATGCCTGGCTAACTTTTTTATATTTGTAGAGATGGGATCTTACTATGTTATCCAGGCTAGTCTCAAACTCCTGTGCTCAAGGGATCCTTCTGCCTTGGCCCCCCAAGGTGCTGGGATTATAGGTGTTAAGCACCATGCTGTGCCAGCTACAAGATTTTCACAAAAACATATTTAAAGAACATACAATAAAAGCAATTTTTGTTATTTATTTATTTATTTTTGTAACAGATTCTTACTCTGTCACCCGGGCTAGACTGCAATGGCATCATCATACCTCACTGCAACCTCAGACTCCTAGGCTCAAGCCATTCTCCTGCCTCAGCCTCCCAGAGTGCTAGGATTATAGGTGCCTACCACCACACTCAGTTAATTTTTCTTCTTTTAGTAGAGACAGGGTCTCACTCTTGCTCAGGCTGATCTGGAACTCTTGAGCTCAAGCGATCCTTCCACTTTGGCCTCCCAGAGTGCTAGGATTATAGGCATGAGTCACCATGCCTGGCCAGATAAAGCAATTTTTTAAAAAAATTGTACTGCCAAAGGTTTATTGAAATTAATAGTATTTCAAATTTCCCAATCCTTCCTCAGTGTGTTGGGTTAAATGAGATGCCTCTAAGTGAAAGAGTCCCAGTTTCTTTTAATAATCATTTGATAAGCTGGATATAGCTTTTCTGCTATACTTCCCAGATACTGGGAAGAGGATATTGCTTAATGAATGGGTAACAAACACTTTGGCAACCCGAGTGGTTTCCCATTCTTTACTTTCAACAAATTTATAGAGAAATTAAGTGAATTATCAGCTGAGAGATCATTAAAAATAATTTTATCCTATTTTTTAGTGATAGGGTCTCTGGCTGGGCACAATGGCTCCGGTCTCTAATCCTAGCACTTTGGAAGACCAGGGCAGGAGAACTGTTTGAGGCCAGGGTCTCACTCTGTCCCGCAGTCCCTCGTGCAATCATAGCTCACTGTAACCCCGAACTCTTGGGCTCAAGTGATCCTCCTGCCTCAGCCTCCCAAGTAGCTGGGACTATAGGTGGGCACCACCACAGCTGGCTAATTTTTTAATTTTTTTAAGGATGTGGTCTTGCTATGTTGCTCAGGCAGGTCTCAAACTCCTGGCCTCAAGTGATCCTCCCACTTTGGCCTCACAAAGTGCTGGGATTACAGGTGTAAGCCTCCATACCTGGCCCTAAAAGTAATTTTTAACTCAGTGCATTACAAGATTTATGAAAAATTAAGGAATTGACGACATTGGTATGATAAAACTACCATTTTCTTTTACTTATTTATATAAACGTGGTTTCTCAATCCTTACACCTATGAAAATGAAAAATAAGAACTATTTGCACTGTCTCAAATTACTGTTAGACATTTAGCCACAGAAAAGTGAGCATACTTGAAAAAAACAATTGTAACTTAACTAGAACCTATAAATAACTCAAGCAAATCAGCAAGAAAAAAATCAAATAACCCTTTACAAAGTGAGCAAAAGACATGAAAAGAAACCTTTCAAAAGAAGATAGACTAATGGCCGATAAAAATGAAAAAATCCTCAACATCTCCAGTCATTAGGGAAATGCAAATCAAAATCACAATGAGATATCACCTAACTCCAGTGAGAATGGCTTTTATCAAAAAGTCCCAAAATAACAATGCTTGCATGGATGCAGAAAGATAGGAACACTCATACACTGCTGGTGGGGCTGCAAACTAGTACAACCTCTATGGAAAGTAGTATAAAGATACCTCAATGAACTAGAAGTAGACCTACCATTTGATCCAGCAATCCCACTACTGGGTTTTTACCCAAAGGAAAAAATGATATTTTATAAAAAAGACACCTGCACCTAAATGTTTATAGCAGCACAATTCATAATTGCAAAGATGTGGAAATAACCCAAGTGTCCACCAATACATGAGTGGATTAATAAAATGTGGTATATGTATGTATACCATGGAGTTCTACTCGGCCATAATAAAAAATGGTGAACTAATACCTCTTGTATTAACCCAGATGGAACTGGAGACCATGCTTCTAAGTGAAGTATCGTAAGATTGGAAAAACAAACACCACGTGTACTCGCCATTAAATGGGAACAAATTGATCAACACTTATGTGCACCTATGGAAAAAACACTCATCAGAAATCAAGCAGGAGGAAGAGGTGAGGAGGGGATGGGTAAATTCATACCTAACAGGTATGCTAACTTTGACTCAAATGGTACAAAAGTAATTTATGTAACCAAACGTTTGTACCCCCGTAATACTCTGAAGTAAAATTTTTAAAAAATCAAATAAATGAAAAAGGAAAAATCTATGTGGAAAAACACATTGATTTCAAAAGTATGTCTGCCCGCATCCAAAAACTACTTATTCTGAGATTTCCTAATATCATTGAGGCCTATTAGGATTCACCATGGCTTTTAACCGCAGACTGGATAGTGTCTTTCCAGCTTAACTGGTATGTTTGCCTCAAAGCATATTACTTGGCAAGAGTGAGGACAAGATGTGAAAGCTAGATAACCCATTAAGAATTTTTTTTAACTCTAAAGCATTTTATCTATGCTTCTTTTGGTTTACTTTCTTGTACACACACATTAAGAACTTTTAAAAGTCCAAAGTAGCAGGATCGATGCCCTCATTCTCCACAAAAAAAAAATAAGTAAATAAATACAAAAGTCCAAACTACAGAAGCGTGTCATGTCTAGATGTAATTAAAATAGTTATCAATCCCCATAACAATCCTGTAGCTCAAATACTTTTCTTTAGAATGTCAAAATCCACATTTTTTCCCCAAAATCTGCATTTTTTCAATTCAAATGTGAAAGACACAAAGGGATTTAAGGAAAAAATTCCTTCCCAACCCTCTCCCCTAGACTCCTACTTACTCTCTTACAATGTAACTATTTCTTGGGTGTGTTTCTAAACATATTTTAGGCACTTCCAAGGAAACTCCAATAGTCTCCTTCCCCCCATACCTGGTATTTTGCATTTATTAGTATGTTCTGGTCAATTCACATTAATACATAAAGAACTTCTGCATTTTTAAAGTGGCACCATAGTATAACATTGTAATGGTTAATTGCATGTACCATAATTTATTTGTTTTTGGTTTAAGGTTTTGTGTTTTTTTCTTTTGAGACAGGGTCTTGCTCTGTCACCCTGGGTAGATTGCAGTGGCATCATCGCGGCTCACTATAAGCTCAAACTCCTGGGCTCAAGCCATCCTCTGCCTCAGCCTCTTGAGTAGCTGGGACCACAGGCTCTGGCCACACCAGCTAATATTTTTTCTATTTTTAGTAGAGACTGGTCTTGGGTCTGGCTCTTGCTCAGGCTGGTCTCCTTGAACTCCTGAGCTCAAGCAACCCTTCCGCCTCGGCCTCCCAGAATGCTAGAATTACAGGTGTGAGCCACGGAGCTCACAGTACTTTAACTGTTTTTTTTTTTTTTTGGTTCTAGTATGAATCTCTAAAAGGTGATAACTCTTAAAAAAACACTGTAACCATAATACTATTATCATGCTTAAGAAATCAACAATAATTTCTTAATATCTTCATAACCAATTGATATTTGGGTTAAATTATTTCATGTCAATGTTCTTAAATTTGACTACTTGAATCGGAATCTAAATAAGGTCAGCACATTGCAGTTGGTTAATATGTCTTTTAAACTCCTTTTAATCTGTAAGTTTCCCTTTTTTTCCCTTGCGTTTCCCACAGTTGGATCTTACTGATTGCATCCCTGTGGCCAGTTTAACATGCTGCTCTGTCATTTTTATTTCCTGTACATTAACCTTCGGATCTAAGGGCTTGAGCAGATTTGCGTGGGGTGTGTGTGTGTGTGTGAGCACGCAGCAAGTTCTTTTATTACAAGACACGCCAGGCTTGGTTACCTTTTTGCAATCTTAGTCGAAGTTGCTCTTTGATTTAGAAGTGGAAACTAATTATGAAACAAAACTTCCCCTTTTGGGAAGAGGCTGTGGTTGATAACTCCAATGACAGATGCAAGGTTGAGCAATCGTCTTGTAAAAGAAACTAGAATAATTCAAGCAAAACAACAAAGTCCTTATCATTTCCCCCTCTCTCAACAATAGTGTTTTCTTTTTTCTTGATTAGCTTTTAATTGCCACACACGCCGCATTTTTTTCCCTGAGGTATTATTTCCAGAAGGCAGCCAAAAATGACTCAATGAATAACTTGCTCTTAAAAATTAAACAGAACTTGGACCAGCTGCCATTTATTAACAGCCAAGGATCCTGTCACTCGGTGGAGCCACAGCCATCCCCGGCTACTCCGCCCCCTGAGGCGCGAGGACCGCGGCCTTATCTCACTTGACACCTTTCCTTCCTTTCTCACCTTTTCCCCGGCCCCCGGCACAGACAGGCTGGAGGGAGCGGGACCCGCAGGAACTCGGCGTCCTGGCTGGTGGCCGAGTCTCAGAGCCGCGGCGTCGAGTCCGCGCGCGCCCTCCGCCCAGCGGCCGGGGCGGACCGGCGGGCGGGCGAGGCCTGCGGGGCGGGGCCTCGGGACTCCGCCCCGGCCCCGATCTCCTCAGCTGGCCGCCCCCCTGCAGGCAGACTCGAGTCGCGGAGCCGCCGCCGCCTCGCAGAACCGGGCTGGGAGCGAGAGCCGGCAGCCGCTGCCGCCATGGGGAGCCGCGTTTCGCGGGAAGACTTCGAGTGGGTCTACACCGACCAGCCCCACGCCAGTCGGCGCCAGGAGATCCTGGGTGAGGTCCGGCCGGCGCCCCGTTATGTGCGCGCGCGGCCTCCCGCCGCCGGGGCGCGCTCTCCCCGCGCCGGCCCTGCGCGGCCGGGAGCTCCCGAGGCCCCTTTCCAGCCCGCGTCCCGCCGCCGGCCGGCTGGTCCGCGCGGCATAAACCGCGGCGCGGCGCGGAGCGGGCGCTTCGGGGGAACCCGGGCCCGCCGGGTAGGGACGTGACCCGCGCGTCCTCCCCGCGCGCGGCTCCGGCTCTTCCGCGAAGAGGCGCGGGCGCGTCCCCGAGCGCGGGCGTCTCCGCCAGGCCCCCGCAGGCCCCTCGGATGGCACGAGGGGTCGTCCGGGCTGGGCCACCTTTGGGTAGATCCTCCCGCTATAAGATTCCTGCACTCTCGGGTGGGAGCCGTTTCCTCCTCCTCCTCCCGTCACCCCTCAGCGGGCCCGGGCGAGGGCAGGCTGCCGGCGTGGCCAAGGCAGGGCGTGGCGCCGGCGCATCCCGGGGCCCCCACGCGAGCCACGCTCACGTTGTCAGACGCCGGCGAGCGACCCTGGCGGGGCGGCTGTTCTGCGGCCCTAGGCCCGGGAGGGGGTTGATACCCGACCGCGTGACCCCAGGGGCTTCCCGGACAGGACGAGTCCCGGTGCGTTCAGGCCTCTTGAGCCTCTTGTCCCATTGATCCTCACGACAAGCCTGGGACTCAAGAACGGCAGATTCATAGATATTTTTTTAGCCACCCTGTTTTTGTGGACGAAAAGACAGAAATATGGAAGACTTGCCAAATAGGGAAATATGCGGCTTAGCCAACTGGTCCCCTGACTGCTAATTTAGAGCCCTTTAAACCAAACTAACTGACTGGGCCTTACTTAAATCTGGAGTATTTGGGGTTTCTATGTTTAGGGAATTCTCTCACCTCTCCCAGGTTACTCTTAATGGTCTGCTGCATGGAATGCCTTACAAACATTACCCAGTTTAATCCACTTTCCCTGTAATTCGACTAGGTCGGTATTATTCCTATTTTAAAAGATGAGGTAAGAACAAATGAGTAAATAAATGCTAGAGGTGGATTCTAATCCGGGTTAGATTGCCTCTAGAGCAAATGCTTTTTAACCTCTGCTGTTTTTTCAAAAACTGAGGAAAGTAATGGTGGTAAGTTGAATATGAGGAATTCTTTCTCATACCTAGTATTTCCCTAGTTTTTCTTCTCAACATCCATTTGCCGAGTGAAAAGAAAAAGCAAGCCCCTGATTTTTGCATTTGTATCTAAAGTTAGAAATGTCATGTTTTCGTAAATAGGAGTCAGTAGATCTCATTAAAATACTACATGTGATTTTAGCCAAAAGGCTGAGAAGCGATTAAAATATATTTGAAAATTGACAGTAAATTGACATCATGAACCTTTACAGTTGCTTATTAATGGGTAGCCCTTTAAGTGCCTTTGGGTTCTTGGATTGCCTCCTGCTGTTTTGTTTTGTTTTGTTTTGCTTTGTTTTTGTTAGAGACAGGAGTCTTACTGTGTGTTGCCCAGGCTGGAGTTCAGTGGCTGTTCAAAGGCAGTCATAGCCTACTACAGCCTAGGACTCCTAGGCTCAGACAGTCCTCCTTTCTCAGCCTCCAACTAGCACCTGGCCTGCCTTTCTTTCTTAATTTGTATGTTTCACAAATCACTTACACATACTTGGTATGAGATAGCATGTGATACATTTTATCTATGTCTTATCTACATGTCGCATAGGATAATCTGATGTCCACCCTGGTAAAAACCAAGTATTTAGCTGTCTATTTAATATTCAGAAAATCAAGAGAGTAAGAAGGTGCTTATTGATGCTTATCTCAACACTGAATCTTTTTTCTACAAACTTATTATCACTGAACGATTTCACTTGGAAAGTAAAAACTATATATTTCTCAATGAAAATATAACATTTTCCATGCAGGTGTAAATACTGCCCAGTGTTCCATTTCAGGGTGGCAGATGGAATAACCTTAAGTAAGATAAGAATCTGGAGATTTGTTTAAATTACACTTAGATAAGAGATCTTTCTGAAATTTGTCACTTTTTTTTTTTTTGCAGGGTGGGAGAGGCATGAAAGAACATGGGTATGTTGTTTAACAACCAACATCTGGCTGGGTGTTGAGACACACACCTGTAGTCCCAGCTATTCAAGTTTTTTTTTTCTTTCTTTCTTTATGTTTTTTAATTAGAAATGGGGTCTTGCTCTGTCACCTGTGCTAGAGTGCAGTTGTGTCATCACAGCTCACTGCAACCTCAAACTCCTGGGCTCAAGTGATCCTGCCTCAGCCTCCTGAGGTAGCTGGGACTACATGCATGTGCCACCACTGCTGGCTAATTTTTACTGAGAATGGTCTCACTATATGTTGCTGGTCTTAAACCCCTGGCCTCAAGTGATCCTCCCATCTCAGCCTCCCAAAGTACTGGATTATAGGCATGAGCCGCTGCATCCAGCCCTTTTCACTTTCTTGACGGTTTCATTTGCAACAGAAAAGTTTTTGATACAGTCCGATTTATCTGTAAGACTTTTATAGTTTTCTTATATTTGGATTTGTAGTCCATTTTGAGTTAATCTTTGTGTATGGTGTAAGGAACAGGTCCAGCTTCATTCTTTTGCATGTTGATATCCAGTTGTTCCAGCACTATTTGTTGAAAAGGCTGTTCTTTATTTATACTGGCGCGTGTAGTACTGATTTTTATATACTATTACAGCTTTGGGAAAATTCAGTACACAATTACTTGCAGAGCCAAGTGTGGTGACACATACCTGTAATCCCAGCTATTCAGGAGGCTGAGGCAGGATTGCTTGAGCCCAGGAGTTTGTGACCAGCCTGGACAACATAGCAAGACCCCATCTCTAAAAAAAAATAAAAAAAAATAATTAAAATAATTACTTGGAGCATATTGATTTGTCTGTGAACTGTGAATACCAGTTTCATGATTTTAGGGTACCTACAAAATGGGCCAGGCGCACTGGCACATTCCTGTAGTCTCAACCACTCAGGAGACCGAGGCAGGAGGATCACTTGAGTCCAGGAGTTTGAAGTTGCCGTGAGCTAGGCCGACGCCACGGCACTCTAGCCGGGGTGACAGAGAGAGACTCTGTCTCCAAACAAAAAAAAACAAAAACAAAATGTATATTATGTTCTGTCCTTTGTCAGATGTGTTAATCAAACTTTATATAAAGTAAAGATGGTATACCTCTGTCTAAACATAAAAATAACATATTTTAGTACAAAAGAATGTAGAGCTTCTAGCCGGGCGTGGTGGCTCACGCCTGTAATCCTAGCACTCTGGGAGGCCGAGGCGTGTGGATTATTTGAGCTCAGGAGTTTGAGGCCTGAGCAAGAGCGAGACTCCGTCTCTACTAAAAACAGAAAGAAATTAGCTGAACAACTAAAAATATATAGAAAAATTAGCTGGGCATGGTGGCGCATGCCTGTAGTCCCAGCTCCTTGGGAGGCTGAGGCAGGAGGATTGCTTGAGCCCAGGAATTTGAGGTGCTGTGAGCTAGACTGACGCCATGGCACTCTAGCCCGGGCAACAGAGCGAGACTCTGTCTCAAAAAAAAAAAAAGAATGTGGAGCTTCTAGATTTTTTTTTTGAAAGTAGAGAATAGGAAGCTTCTAGAGTTTGAGGCTAATTTTTCCTGCACAAACTCTCAAACTGTTGGGACGTGGTATTTTATATCTTTACTATTAGCACATTCTCCTTCCCTGTAGTAGATAAATATTTGATAAAGTCTATAATAGAGGGAATATTATGATTTGAAGAAGAAAAAATTTAATTAGTGTGCTAAGTTAATTGGAGTTGATTGTAATTGCTAAACCATTATGTACTTTCCTCAATTGATTTTTTTGTTTGTTTTTTCTTTACAGCAAAGTATCCGGAGATAAAATCCTTGATGAAACCTGATACCAACCTGATATGGATTGTAATTATGATGGTCCTCATCCAGTTGGTTTCATTTTACTTAGTAAAAGACTTGGACTGGAAATGGGTCCTATTTTGGGCCTATATCTTTGGCAGTTGTGTTAACCACTCGATGACTCTGGCTATTCATGAGATTTCCCACAATTCCGCCTTTGGCCACTACAAAGCCATGTGGAATCGCTGGTTTGGAATGTTTGCTAACCTTCCTATTGGGGTTCCATATTCAGTTTCCTTTAAGAGGTATCACATGGATCATCATCGATACCTTGGAGCTAATGGCATCGATGTGGATATTCCTACTGATTTTGAGGGCTGGTTCTTCTGTACCACTTTCAGAAAATTTATATGGGTTATTCTTCAGCCTCTCTTTTATACTTTTCGACCTCTGTTCATCAACCCCAAACCAATTACTTATCTAGAAATTATCAATACTGTGACTCAGATCACTTTTGACATTATAATTTACTACTTTTGGGGGATTAAATCTTTAGTCTACATGTTGGCAGCATCCTTACTTGGTCTGGGTTTGCACCCAATTTCTGGACATTTTATAGCTGAACATTACATGTTCTTAAAGGGACATGAAACTTACTCATATTATGGGCCTCTGAATTTACTTACCTTCAATGTGGGTTATCATAATGAACATCATGACTTCCCCAACATTCCTGGAAAAAGCCTTCCACTGGTAAGTAAAAGATTTGATACAGATGCTAATTTCTGATGTTATACAATCAAAATTAGTCTTGACTTGCTCAGTTTAAAAGGAATCTAATATATTTTGTTAATCTGAGCTGCTCATCAAAAAAATATATATAGGCCTTGTTTGGTGGCTCACGGCCACAATCCTAGCACTCTGGGAGGCCGAGGTAGGAGAATCCCTTGACGTCAGGAGTTCAAGACCAGGCTGAGCAAGAGTGAGACCCCCATCTCTACTAAAAATAGAAAATTTAGCCAGGCATGGTGGTGGGTGTCTGTAGTCCCAGCTACTCTGGAGGCGGAGGCAGGAGGATCTCTTCAGCCCAGGAGTGTGAGGTTGCAGTGAGCTATGATGATGCCACTGCACTCTACTCAGGGCACCAGAGTGGGACTCTGTCTCAGAAAGCAAAAAAAAACCCCAGAAAATTAGCAAGAATATAAATACCACATCTGCCATCCTCATTTTACAAAGGGTTCACCCTTGGATCCTTAAGGTTGATATTTACGCTCAGTGTTTAAAAGTGTTGGAAGATCTGCAAAATCTACTAATTTGTAAAGGAATTCAGGAATAAAAAACTAAATCCCTCTGTGAAGTAAGCAACAGTTCATGTAAACTTCATCACTATTAAACTGAATGAGCTTAGCTAAGATTTGTGTGTTGGTTTATTATGAAATACAGATATCCTACATAATCTGCAAAATAAATGAACCTCAGTTTCCAATACTATATTATTAATCTTCTTGAGGACAGGGATTATCTGTATCCCTTAACTGTAGACGTTTTGTATATTGTTTGTGGAGTAAATAAGACATCCTTGATAAAAGGATGAGTCCTTTTATCCTCTTCAAAATGATCATTTTCCTAACTTCAGTTGTCCTGGTAAATTCTCTCATTAGCTTCCCCATCCTCAAAATGTGTAGCTTCTAATTCTGTTATCAAAAAATGTTTCCAGGCCGGGCGCGGTGGCTCACGCCTGTAATCCTAGCACTCTGGGAGGCCGAGGCAGGCGGATTATTTGAGCTCAGGAGTTCGAAACCAGCCTGAGCAAGAACAAGACCCCATCTCTACTAAAAATAGAAAGAAATTAACCAGACAACTAAAAATACATAGAAAAAACTAGCCGGGCATGGTGGCGCATGCCTGTAGTCCCAGCTACTCGGGAGGCTGAGGCAGGAGGATCGCTTGAGCCCAGGAGTTTGAGGTTGCTGTGAGCTAGGATAACGCCACGGCACTCTAGCCCGGGCAACACAGTGAGACTCTGTCTCAAAAAAAAAAAAAAATGTTTCCATAATTTTAAAAAGGATAATATGAATGAAATGAGATATTAGTTTTTCTTGATTCTTTTTTAGCTATGATGTTAGGGCACCCTAGCCAGATATTTTATGCTATCATACCCACCCAGTCAAATTTTATAGATTTAAGGTTTTTTGTTTTTTTTTTTTTAAGATAGAGTCTTGCTTTGTCACCCCAGGTAGAATGCAGTGGCATGATCATAGCTGACAGCAACCGTAAACTCTTGGCTCAAGTGATCCTCCTGCCTCAGCCTTCCGAATATCTGGGGACCACCACACCAAGCTAATTTTTTTCATTTTTTTAGAGGTAGAGGTCTCACTATGTTGCCCAGGCTGGGGTTGAACTCCTGGCCTCAAATGATCCTCCCACTTCAGCCTCCCCAGTAGCTGGGATTACAGGTGTGAGCCAAACTCACAAAACACTTTTTTTTTTTCTATATATGTATTTTTAGTTGTCCAGATAATTTCTATTTTTAGTAGAGACGGGGTCTCACTCTTGCTCAGGCTGGTCTCAAACTCCTGACCTTGAGCAGTCCACCCGCCTCGGCCTCCCAGAGTGCTAAGATTACAGGCGTGAGCCACCGCGCCCGGCCCACAAAACACTTTTTTTTTTTTTTTTTTTTGAGACAGAGTCTCACTCTCTTGCCTGGGACGAGTGCCGTGGGGTCAGCCTAGCTCACAGCAACCTCAAACTCCTGGGCTCAAGCAATCCTACTGTCTCAGCCTCCTGAGTAGCTGGGACCACAGGCACGCGCCACCATGCCCGGCTAATTTTTTCTATATATTTTTAGCTGTCCAATTAATTTCTTTCCATTTTTTGGTAGAGACGGGGTCTCGCTCTTGCTCAGGCTGGTCTTGAACTCCTGAGCTCAGAACGATCCGCCCGCCTCGGCCTCCCAGAGTGCTAGGATTACAGGCGTGAGCCACCGTGCCTGGCCCCACAAAACACTTTTTAAATGTGAATTTTTCCATTTGCTCACAACCTTGTACGTAGACAAAACATCTAGGAATTTATTATGTCAGTGTTTAAGTTGGATTGGACACATGCCTAATAAATTCCCTAGGGTTTCAAAGTCTTCGTATTAAGGACTTTATTGATATTTGACTTTATGTCTTTAAAAAATATACAAAATTAGTCTTCAAAGAATGTCTTGATTCACATGCTTATTCAGGATCTAAACTGGCTTTGTCATTAATTTTTTTGGAAAGATAGTGTCTTTTCCAGCCATTAAATTGATTACTACTGGCGTTGACATAAATTCAGTGTGGAATGTGATCCAGGTTTATTGTATGTGTGGTTTGTAGATCATCCTTATTCATGAAGGAATTTTAGGAAGTTTTGAAAGACTGTGATCAAAGGTATTGCCCCTTTGTGCAATTTGGTATCATATCACTCTGTTTTGATTGAGAGCACTCACACGAAAGGCCTGTGTTTGGCCTTAATTTTTCCTTGAGGGGGGTTGTATGTTAATCTACTACTACTACAGAATCAGAAAATATTGTTAAATTGAAACAGTAATTTAAATTTTAACTTTTCTTTTCCTTTCTGTCTCTTTTCACTATTTTGGATTCTGCTTTTTTGTTTTCCTTTGAGATTTATTAGGATAGTTTTTTATAAGACATTTTCAACTTAAGATGGCAGAACTGCACACTTAATAAGTGCTTAATTTCTTTCTAATTTGTATGCCACAATTTATTAGTATTTTTAAGTTCCTAGATGGCAAGGGTCAGGTGCTACCTTCATATCCTACAATGCCATCCATGTAGTACATTCTTTAATAATAATATCAGGTTAATTGAATTGCATATATGGTTAATTTTACAAATAAATCAGATATTTAGTCCCTCAGAGCTTGATGGGAGAGTCAGTAATACTAGAGGGCCAAGTGTATTCAGGTGTTGAAATGCAGGCTTCTTTTTGTTTAGCATTTCCTAAGCGGTTGCAGCTTTTATTTATTTGTTTGATTAAAGAGGGAGCAGGGAGAGAGGTCTCTTGGTTTTCCTTCTCAGTGTTTGTATCAAACATTCATCTGTCATCTCTGATAGGACCCAGTAACGCTCATTCATCTTGCTGTATTTTTTCCCTTCTAGGTGAGGAAAATAGCAGCTGAATACTACGACAACCTCCCCCACTACAATTCCTGGGTCAAAGTACTGTATGATTTTGTGGTGGATGACACAATAAGTCCCTACTCAAGAATGAAGAGGCATCAAAAAGGGAAGGTGGCGCTGGACTAAGTATCATTGAGCCAAAGGAATTCCTCTTCGAAACGTTAAAATAGGTCATAAAGTGAGATTTTCGCATCGTTAAACTTAAGACCAGTAATGCTTCGAAGCTACCCTAAGTAGGCTCTGGCTTTACACAGTCGCCTGTCTCTGTAGTGCTCAGCTTCACTCACAGGAAACTCGGGTATTATCGTCATTGAGGATGTCTTCGCCCATGTCTGTCATTTTGTAAGCATATCATTTTGTAAGCATATAAAAGAAGCCTTTTAAAAAGCCATTTCTAGTACATTATTTTCACTATAAAGTTTTACTTTATTAAAACAGGCTAGTAAACTGAGCTATTAACCACAATGTATTAGTATTTGTTGTATTTTTGTATTTCACTTTCTTTATACTACATAATACAGTAACTTGGGTACTGGGAGAACTTACTTTGAAATTTGATCTGAAAAATAGTTTTAAAAAGGTCTGAGTTAACGTAGTATATTATAAAAGTTGAGATGGAAATATCTTTTATTGTAAGCTGAATTACTCATTTTTAATTTTTACCATTGTACATAGGACCTAATTAAACACTTGAATCCTGTACAGTCTTGGTCATAAATAAAGTACTTACTGAATCTAATCATGTCCGACATTCAGATTCCTTTTTCAGAGGTGCTGACCCTATGTTAGAAACTGCTGACAGAGTTTCACGGTGGGAACGGGTTGTGGTCTGATGGTAGATAGCTGGTCTCAAGTAGCTGGTATCATGGGCTCTTAGGTAGTCCTGGTAACCTCAAATGTGTCATTTGGGTAAGTTTAGTACAATAAAGTAGAAAGCAACACCCAGACTGCTGAGGGTGGAGAGTGGAATCCTCTGTGGGATTGGCAGACCTGCTTTACAGACCTAATTTCATCTTCAAAGTACTTTGCTTTCCCTTCTTGACCCTGCCTAGGAAAATTCCCAGTGTCCTTGAATCTGTTGCTCAAAGAACCACTCATTTAAAATACAGAGTAAGGCCAGGTGCAGTGGCTCACCTGTAATCCCAGCACTTGAGAGGCCGAGGCAGGAGGATTGCTTGAGGCCAAGAGTTCAAGACCAGCCTGGGCAACAGAGCAAGGTCTCTGTCTCTAGGAAAAAAAATTTAAATGAAAAACATAACACATGGATGTGATGCTAGATTCTAAATAGATCATGTACTCCCATCAAGCCCTCAACTCCCCTGGGCTACAAACTCTAGCCAATAGCTGTGACTGCCGTGTAAATGCAGAAAACTCCCAAATCTCCTGTTAGCTCATAGCTCTCAATTCTTCCACCTACTGGATATATAGAGTATGTCGTCATCCCTCCCCAAAATTGCTATTTGCTGTTACATCACCACTCTTTATCTGGACAGAGGTTTCGGCACTCCTGGCAGGTGTCCTAAGTAGTCTGGCTCCCATCTGCCAACTCAGTCCATTCATTAAGAGATCTACCTGTCAGGGCAGTAGGAAGGCTGCGCCCCAGAACCTTTAAAGACTAAGTCCTGAGAAGTCATCAGTGGTTCTGCACAAGTTCTCTCTTCCGTTTAGACTCCTTTCCCCATTTTTGGTCTGGTTTGCTTGTCCTTCAAGGCTCACGCCAGCCTTCTGGTGCCGCTTTTTGGACTCTGAAAACGAATGATGACCTCATTCATAGCCCTAACCATACTGTTTTGTAAATAGCCACTGTCTGGTCCCCTATGAGGTGGTAACTCCTTAAGGGCAGGAAAGATCATTTATTTCTCTGTTCCCTAAACCTTGCAGGGTCAGTGCCTGACTTAAACTAAGTGCTTGATAAATGGAGAGAGACCAGCAGAGAGAGTCCTTGAGCTTGAGAAGCTTTATTTAAAACAGAAACACAGCCAAAGAGGGCATTTGTAGAACCCACAGGTAAGTGCGGTATACTGAAAACAATGGACATTTATTGAGAATCCTTACTTTTCACAGAGCCCTGCACTAAGAGTTCTGCATGCATTATCTTAAGTCTCAACAGTTCTATGATGTAGGTACTATTATTCATTCATACCTTAATTTTTGTAGATGAGAAGACTGAGACTTAAAGTAACTGGCCCAAGATCACACTTTGTAAATTGCTGAAACAATCTGAAATTCGGACTATGTCACTACAGAACCAAAGCTTTATTCTTTTTTTGAGACAGAGTCTGGCTCTGTTGCCCTGGCTAGAGTGCCATGGCATCATCTTACCTCACTATACTCACTACCTCAAACTCCTAGGCTCAAGCGATCCTCCTGCCTCAGCCTTCTGAGTAGCTGGGACTACAGGCGCTCGCCACCACACCCGGCTAATTTGCAATCCTCCCACCTCAGCCTCCCAGGTGTGAGCCACTGTGCCAGCTCCAAAACTCTGGACTGTATCCACCTGGCTTGTCTAATGAGCCTGGTCCTAGAACAGGAATGGCAACGAAAAACAGATGTTCCCATTACCAAATACGTGCTCACTCTATGGGCCTTATTGACGCCTCCCTGTGCGCCAGCAGTTCTGGCTAGATCTCTGGTTTTTCTTAACTCTTAATCTAAAATTCTAATATGAAACATCAACATTTAAATCTATAGAAAACATGCATTTATTCATTCATTTATTCATTCTGCAGGTACTTTGCCAGGCATTGTACGGAGGTACAATGAGGGTACAAAGACAAAATGCCCCAACTTAAGGAGCTGATGCTCTAGTGCTGGGAGGTGCATGTTAAGTCAGAATTCAGTAATAAAGGACTTCATACACAAAGCAGGAGAGTCAGGATTGGCTGGGACTACTGAGTGCGAAGACGTTGCTATCACTGACGAGGTGTCAGCGCTCTGCCAGACTACTTGTACGTGCAGATTATCATTCTACTCCGCGTCAGCTCGAGGAGGTAGGCATTATCTTTTCATGTGAAGAAATTGAGAGTCAAGCAAATAAGTAGCCTGAGGTCACACCCCTGAGCCAGGGCCTGGAGCCAGGTCGGTTAGAGGCGATGCTTTCTGCTATTCCACTTGGAAGCTCTTTGGACAAGTTCTTACGTTGTTTCTTGTTAGTTTTCGAAAACACAGGAGCCTTAGTCGTTTGGAATGAAGCAAGAACAGTCTGATGACCTGGGGCTGGGAAGGCTCTGAAAAACAGTACCCTCAGAAAGCCAAGAGCCAAGAAAAAGGCCGGGTGCAGTGGCTCACACCTGTAATTCTAGCACTCTGGGAGGCTGAGGCAGGAGGATCGCTTGAGCCCAAGAGTTTGAGGTTGTGAGCTAGGCTAACGCCACTCTGTCAGCCCAGGTGACAGAGTGAGACTCTGTCTCAAAAAAAAAAAAAAAGCCCAGAGCACTAAGGAACCCCTAAAACCCTCACAGCACGCTCACTTCTCAGACAGACGGGACCAGCCCGGCTGAGCCGCACAGAGCAGAGGCCTGAAGGCTGATCAGAACTGCAAGAGCTCTGCAGCAGCTGAGGGTGATGTCTGCAGCGGGGTGTTAGCAAATGGGAGTGCTGGTGCAGCCCAGGGAGGATCCCAATTTCAGAAAAGGAGCAGGATTTGACAGTAGATAGATATACAGGTCAGATCATGTAGGTACATTTTGGTTGTTAAATTAATGACATGGTAGAGGAAAAAGAAGTATGGGGAGTGTCATCTGAAAAAGGGCAGCTTTGTTTTTGCCAGGTTTCTTCTGAATTGGCAGATGGCTCATAAAGCTAATAATTGGACTCAAGTGAGGGGGAAGACTTCAGGTGCTGACAAGTAAAGGCATCACTGCGGTTCAGAAGGAGCTGGAGACCATTATCCTACGTGAAGTATCTCAGGAATGGAAAAACAAATACCACATGTTCTCACTTATAAGTGGGGGCTGAATGAGAGGTGTAAATGGTCATAGGTGGTGTAACAGACACTGAAAACTAAAGGTGAGAGGGAGGGAGGGGTCGAGGGATAAAAATCTGCCTGTCGGGTACGATGTACACTATTCTGGTGACAGATACACGGAAAGCCCTGACTTCACCACTGTATGATTCATCCATGTAACAAAAAATACTTGTACCCCCTAAATCTACTGAAATACTTGTACCTCCTAAATCTATTGGAAAAAAAAAAGCAGCTGCTATCACAAGCATGTATGAATTGGCAAGACCAAAAGCAAGAAAGGGGTCAGGACAGTGTCCTGGGGGGGTTCTCTGTAACTGCATGGGGGTATCTCGACAGACAGACAGTACCCTTCTGGGAAGAATGGTGGAACCCAAAGAAACACGAGTAGTGTGTATTACCCGGTTACTAGGCACACTCTGTATTTGTGATCCTTGGGAAAGGAGTAAACTAGATGCTTTGTGGAAAAGGCCTGGAAGAATTGGATAGCCCTCAATGCTGGCTTCTAAGTCCTTGCAGAGCCACAGTTTGCTACTCCAAGCAGGGCCTCTGTAATCTCCCTCTCTCATGTGCTTGCCTTCAGTGGTTGCTCTAACAGGCTTCAGGAAGGGTCTACTAAGACCCAGAGTAACCCCTCATTTGTCCAGTTAGTGGTGTGAGCCTCACATTCCCCTCCCATTTAGTAGCTCAGATTTTTTTTTCTTTTTTCGGCACAAAAGGGTGTCTCATTCCCTTTACACTCTGAACAGCAGTCTCCCCGCTTAGCCATAACCACACAATCTGCTTTTCCCTCCAGGCTGGGCATTAAGTAAGCTAGAAAGTGGGTTCTTTTCTGCTACTGTCTTTAGTAGAAGCACTTTCATGTCACTTTTCCATTTGTTGAAAGGATGTCTGCTCCAGCACTAACAATAAGGCCCCAGCCCACCAAGCCCTGCTTCAGAGCTGGGCCACTTCATGCTGGGTGCACATGGGACTCTAAATGGCAACCTCGGGCCGGGCGCGGTGGCTCACGTCTGTAGTCCCAGCTACTCGGGAGGCTGAGGCAGGAGGATCGCTTGAGCCCAGGAGTTTGAGGCTGCAGTGAGCTATGATAGCACCACTGCACTCCAGCCTGGGCAACAGAGCGAGACCCTGTCTCAAAAAAAAAAAAAAAAAAGACTTAGGAGCAAGAGAATTCACTAAAAACGAAAGCTGAATGACAATTCAACAAAGTCATGAATGTTTTCCTCGGTTTTTGTATCGTGCTGTGCGCCTCTGCCATTTCCTTTGTGCATGCACGCATTTCCCCTTAAGAGCAGCAGATTTCTCTCTGAGGTTAGGCCGTGCTCAGCCACAGGACTAGAGCAGTCTGGAACCTTTTGTTTCCACCAGGGAAGAGCTAAGGGAAAATTTCAAAAACATCCTTAGTCCTTTGGGAAGTCAGTTAGCTTTTAGATCACTGATCTAGAGTCCCCAGTTCTCTGTGTGGGAGATGCCACACGCAGGCCACCATCTCGAGCACACAGGAGAGCGTTCTCTGAGTTGGCCAAGTGGCACCATATCAATGCATTCCTTTGATCTCTATGTTGTCCTTTTTTTAGAGACAGGGCTCACTCGGTCTCCCAGGTATAGTGCAATGGCATCATCATAGCTCACTGCAACTTCAAACTCCTGGGCTCAAGCGATCCTCCTACCTTGGCCTCCCAAAGTACTGGGATTACAGGTGTGAGCTACCGTGTCCAGCCAATGTTGTC